TTTTTTTTATATATATATATATACTGGCAGTATATGGTTGAACTTGCCCCACCTGCAGTTACCCCCTTCCCTGCTCCATCTGAGGAAGGTACATCTTCTGATATGTATGCATCACTCTCAGCATCACCAATAGCTGCAGATATGGAACCTAAGGTATGGAGTTTTGTTCCCTTTTTTTTTCTCCCAGCTATTATTCTGTGAATCTTCTACCATGTTTATTCCCTTTGGTGCCCGGTACTATTTTCTCCAGAATGCATTCACTTCTAAAATAAGTACTTGAATGAAATTGCTTTTATTGCATTAACCAGTCAGCAGAGGAGGACTTTTATTTGAGTCAGCACCTCTGGGCTGTCACCCCATGCAGCTTCATAACCTCAGCATCTGCCTGGCCTGGACAGTGAAGGAGTGATGCTGGCTGTGTCAGTAAAGTTCTCAAAAGCAGGCTTTGTGTATCGTTGCATGTCTTTGAGCTGACACTTCTCCTATAGAAAATGGGAGGATGTTCTAACTCACATATTTCTTATCACTGATTACTGCTAGGGGTCTGATCAAGGCCTTTTGGGAGAGCCCAGCCCAGAGGCAGAGTCCTTTGAGGCAGGTGCTGTGGCTGGTTTCACTGGTAAAGATCAGAAGCTCACAGTCCTTCCAAATCCCAAATGAAATTATTGGCAACCTTGAGGTACTATTGCTAAAAAAGGTTTTCACTAATTCTATGGTAATTAGCTAGCTCAGCTTTAATGAATATAAACTGTATTCATGCTAAAGCTGGCAAAAAGCACATCCATATGCCATAAGAATGTGAATTAGCCTCTATAAATAGCTCCTAGTTTAGTCAGCTTACGTGTGATAAGATAAAAAATATTCAGTAATATAACAACATATATCTTCAGCATCGCCATGTGTTAAAGAAACATGGGCCAAATCCTGCTCTGGGAGCTGTCAGTGATAAAATTCCTTTTCCAGAGTTCAGGATCAGCTGCTGGGATGGAGCATATGCAGTATGGGCTTAATAAATAAGTGGTTAGATGCACCTACGTTACACATCCTGCAATCCGTATAAGCATTAATGCACTCTTGCCAGTTCTAGACCTCAGTTGGTTGATGCGTAAGTGTTCAAGAGCTGTCTTAATGGAATGGATCAGTATGTGGTTTGCAGACTCTGAGGAGTCTGAGAGTTACTTCTTTAGGGTTCATGAAATGCAAGTAAGCTACTGTCAGTGGGCTTGAATTGCAGTAGGGTAACTGCTTTTCTGTAGAGAGATCTGTGAATTGAAACTTCTGGAAAGCCAGAAGAGTAGACCATTGTTATTTTGTAACTGCTCCCTCCAGCATATGAAATTATTGAAAGTAAGCCAACTAGAATGCGGCTAGACCATGGAAATGTTATGTGTGTTTATTTCAGCTACCAGGTGGCATTAAAGACTTTAAACTTCATGCGTTGTTACAGTTTTAGATAGAGCACAATGAACGCTGTAGGTTGAGCAGAAATGTATTAAATATATAATATTAACTGGAAATAGTGTTTACATGGATTTATGGATTATATATGAACTGGGAATATCAGTTGGAACAATGATACCATCATTAGATCTACCTACTTGATTTCACATTCACTTTCAGCGTGTCTTTATAAATGAGAGAGAACCTAGCCAGTGTAGTATTTTTCCTGTCCTACAGAACAAACAAAATGCATGATTTTCACCTGACCTTGATTTCATTAACATCACTGCTAAGAGCTTTTCTTCTTTACAAAACCTGCGGAAATTAGAGAAATGCATTAATAAGTAATAGCAGAGATTTCCAGGATGCACAAGCCAAAACATTCCTAAAGTGGCAAGTTACTGCAAGCTTTTCTGGGACAAATCCATTTACTGTATCAGAATTATACGAAACACATTGAGAGTGTGTCTCTAGACTCAGGATCAGATTTTGTGGAGCCTTTGAAGGACCTTTCAGCCATTTCCAGTTGTGTCAACAACTTTCACGATTCTTGGAAGGACCGTCTCATTTCACTCCTGTTTCTCTTGTCTCTTTGCAGTGATGTATGCTGATACTGAGAAGTGCACATAAATTCCCAATGAAACTCCAGCATTTGTGGTCTTCATTCTAGTGATCCTGCATTTCTAAATGCTATCAAATCAAGGACGGCTACACTTTATCACTACCATAGATTTCCATAAATTGTCTTAGAACCTTTGTGCCATCCCCCACAAATGTTGCATTGCAAATTAAGTGCTCAGAATCTACAGCAGTCTGGATTTCCAGAATATGATACACATTCATAATTGTGTTTGTAATTAAGAAAGACAAGCAACAACACAGGAGTATGTTTTTTATTGTTTGTTTTCAGTAATGTTTTCTAATTCCAGCAGTTTCAATAAAGTGTATTACACTAGAGAACAAACATCTGCAGCAAAGGAAAACAGAGAAAACAACCAAATCCCAAAGCAATTTTTCTGATTTGGTGTTTATTGGTAAAGGCTGTCTGAGAACACAGGCAAATTAGCCTATCTCCCAAGACAAGGGTATATGAGAAATGGCTGTCCCGGATCACTTCCTGTCCATGGCACGCATACCATACTTTGGGGTCGCACACAGTAGTACGATAAAGTGTTATCACATAAGTACAGGCTGAAACACCGTTATGTCTGCAGAACACGAGGGTGGGTAGGATAATGTCTGTCTTACTGCACCGCACTGTGTCAAAACCACAAAGACAATGTGCAGCCAAAGATAGCTCCAGCATAATCACCTTTTTTTTCTTCTGATTTTCTTTACAGGCAGACTTAAATGAAAAGCAGCAAATACAAGAAGCTTAAACTTTGAGGACAGAAAAATTAAAAGATCTTAACTAGCCAACTGAGAAAGGTGATGTTGTATTTTTCAGAAACTGACGTTTGGTAGGCGATGTGCCAAGTGTCATTATTTTGGTGTACAGGAAAATGCTTCACTTAACTAGAAATAGTTCATTTCAGTTCCTCAAATTTACTCTCTTCTGACAGTGTTGTTGTTTAGCTTAGACTTAAGTGGGAGGCTGTAAACAGAAAAATATGTAATTCAAGCATGTTGAAGTTCAGTTTATTTCTGAAGGGAAGTCTAAATTAAAAAAAAATATATCTAGTTTCATTCTCTTTCTTTCTTCCAGTTGTGAAATATTTAACAGCTTCTGCTTTTTCGGGATACTTTGCTAGAAGGAGAATACACACAGAGAAAACATATTTGAGGTATTGCAGATGCAGTAAGGAGAGAATTTAATTGATGTGTAACTAAACACTTTCCACTATAGTTATTCATCAGCAATATTTTTCATTTCATTTTAAATTACTTCCTAAGCTTTCAAACTAATTTATTTCATTATTTTTTTTACTTCCACCAAAGTAAAATTGCATAAAAGAACAGTTGGCACTTCTACAGTTGTCCCACAAAGACTGCCTTTTGATTTCCTTGGAATGTTTTCTGGAATGCATGTAACCTTTCATCTGAGAATGCATTTCCCACCCCTCTGTATGCTAACATGCTTCCATATTTTTCTCAGACAGATAAATGCTTTAAACAAAAGAGGAATCTCACTGTAGCATAAATCACATAAGAACAACTGCTTTAATGTCTATGTTTCTAAATCATAGACTCTACAAAATGTTATGTTACAAAACTCTGTGCCCTAGAAAGCATGTTGAATACAAACCATGCTTTCAAGCGGGAAGGCTGGCCCATGTGTCTAATGGAACATTCGAGAAATAGAATGTTACATTAATTACAATTTCATATTTTTTTTCTCGTTAAGTAACACATGAGGTTTTGTTTCACTTCACACCCATTTTTAGGATGATAATGAAAAAGGATTGCAAGCCTGACCCATCCCAGGCAAAAAAACAAACCACTCTGAAATAGCGTACCTGGAGGCCTTGTTTGCTGCTGCCTGCTCTGCACAGCCAGGAGGGGGCATTGCCTGCACGTTGTTCGCCAGAAGGAGCTCCAACGCTCAGGGCAGTACCTGCTAGCTGCATTTGGGTGCCAATAGCCTGGAAATAGTCTTCGGAGGACGTTAGATATGGGCGCTCAACTCTTGTAAGCAATTGTTCGAAACGTTCAGCGGGCAGAATATTGTGCTCGGTCTCATGCATTGAGGAAAATCCTTCTGTTGCTATGTGATCAGGAGAAGTGGGTTCTGTAACAGGCTCTGTAACAGTGCACTTCAAGTTTTCTTCATTTTTCTATCCTCTGCTGGCCAGCACGTTAATGCGGGCTTCCTTTCAGCTACAAAAGCTCACTTCCCATTGGAACACTGAAGTAATTCATGAGGAATTACTGGTTTACCCTATAAAAATCTTTATAAATATCTAAGATTCATTATTATGCTCTATGTTTCTTTAGTGCTTTGGAATATGATTTTTTTTTTCCTATGAAAATTTTCTGAAATCAAGATGTCCTTTATTTTGATATGTATATTAATTTCCTAGAGCATTATGCTCATATCATAGGTTTTTCTGGTTTTCAACTCAAAGGTAAGAACAGAGTTTCTGATAAGAGCCATCTGTATGGAGGGGGAATTATTTTTTAAAGTTTTTGCTGAGAATGTTATTGGCAATTTAGCACTTCGGTCAAATTTGCAGACTGCAAAATTCTTTCTTTATGGTGAAGCATAAAGAGACTAACGATGATTGTGTTAAGATCAACGCTAAAGAAAGGCTCTTGCCTGTATCTCTTCCTCCTTCTCCCAGATTTTGTAGAACTGGGAAATTTTGAAGTGCTTTGAAGATGAGAATTTGTATATAAACATCAAGTATTACGGCAGTGATTTGTTAGCATTCACTCTTAGTACATATGCATAACAGCTGACGTGCTGCAGAAATCCAAAGTGGAGTTCAAATCCCACAAACTGTATTTGTAGCTCTCTTCCTGCTGAGCTAATGATATTTGTAGCGCTCTTCCTGCTGAAATAGTGCTACCAATAAAAACAGCCCCAGGGGTTTTTTTTGGGGAATAGGAGGAGGGATGATTGGAAGGCGGAGGTGAAGGTGGGGACATGAGTAAAAGGTGGACATGACAGCTCTCTAAGCAGTCAGAGTACATGCTCTGACATGGCATATGAACATCGGTTTGAAGAATCCTTTCATGTCTTCAGAATGCTAATATGAAATGCAAAACGTCATGCTTTGGATAGATTGGTAGGAACAAAATGTTCAGATGCAATATGGTGCATTAAGTACAGTCTCCAGTCTGTATTCCTGGCTTTTCCATTGGTTTAAATCAGACTTGCTGTTTTTAAAGTCTCCCATGTCATGTTGAGTTACTGCTATAGTCGTCTCTAAAAATAAGTATACCGTCATTTCTGAGACCCACCAAAAGCTGAGGCTTTGGCATAATAATCTTCAATTTTTGTTACACTGTTGATATGACAGAGTTCTTTACAATATACATACCTTGCGTAGTTCTTAACAGGTTCCCACCCTGCAAAGCCTTTAAATTAAATCAGGCAGATGTTGTAGAAAAGGTGTGTTACACTTCTGAATAAGTGGGGTTTTTCCAGGGGAAAGTGGGTAGAAGAAACACTATAGTTTTTCCTACATAAGATATAATATTGATGATTTCTAGCATCTGCATGGTAAAATCCAGGTCTCTGCAAGGATTCTGTAATGAGATAGTGAACAACTAGTAATTATCTTCTAGTACAAGGAAAGCTTTTCCAGCAGTACTTTCCTGAACTACACTGACACAGGATGGAAGTTTTGAAAAGATAGAAAGCAGTTATTCAAATAAGAAGCTGGTGTGAAAAAAGATGAGAAAGGAGGCTAAAAGAGAAAATGTGTTTTTTTTACCTGTTCCACAGTATTTTGCCACAACTCAGCTCTCAAGCTTTTCTTCTCTCTCTCTGCACCAATACCTAATTTGAATTTTAAAATTACCACATTGTTTCCTTCCTAAAATTGTAACTGACATTCCTAGAAAATTTGCTTTCCCAGAAAAGCATTGTGCGTAGGCTGTAAATTTAGCTTTTCACAAGTGAGGAAAAGACATTTTCTTCAATAACCTACACTGCCAACGTGACCACAAAATGTGCGCAGAGTCAGCATTTGTCCGTTTAAATCAGACTTTTGAGCACATGATTCACCACCAAAATTCATTTATGCAGGTGTGGGCATTGTACTTATTTGAAAGGATTTATTCAGTTGAGTAGTGTATTATTTTCATTGCGGGATTTGGTTTTCAATTCATACTGTGTAACACAAAACTTCTTTGTATTATACACTAACATTGTGGGATTTTGTTGGCTTTTGTTTGGTTGTTTTTTTGTCATTGTTGTTTGTTGGCTTTGTTTTGTTTCGTTTCTCCCAGTGATATATTTTAAACTTCCTCAGTTCCAATTTCTGCCTCTTAATCCTGTAAGGTCCTTGGACTCTCCCGATGAGGAATTCATAGAATCACAGAATGGCTTGGGTTGGAAGAGACCTTAAAGCCCATTTAGATCCAACCCCCTGCCATGGGCTCGTTGCCACTCAGCAGACGAGGCTGCTCAGGACCCCATCCAGCCTGGCCTTGAACAGCTCCAGTGATGGGACATCCACATCTTCTCTGGGCAGCCTATGCCAGTGCCATTCCCATGATATCACTCTCATTCTAGAGAATTTTACACAAGCCACTGTGAAAGAGTGTGCTCTGATGCTACTTCTGCTATATAGAGCCTCCATAGCGTAGGCTTGATCCCAGGCTGTCATCCAGAATGTTCAGAAGTGTGTAGAAGGGGCTGCTCACAAGAAAGGATGTGAATGTGGACCGTAGCCTCTCCTCCTCAGCTAGCTGCTGTTTATGGCAGTGTGGATATGACAGGTAAGCTTCAGCATGGCTTACATGCATACCAAGACTGTAAAGAATTCACAGCTAATGCATGCCAGTGTAGTGGTGTTTGAAAGGGATGTTTATACTCTCATTAGCACTAATCAGTGTGATGTGCCATCCTGAAGGTGAAAGATACTGCAGGTAACTGGGCAATTCACCCTCTCTTCTCTCACTTCCCCTCATTTTAGGATGGTGTTATAGCTGCCCCTGCCACAGTGTGCAACCACATCATTCTCTGGCCTGCTGGAGTAGGGAGGGGTTGTGCTGAAGGTGAGATCACCTTCACCTCTCTGCCACAATTTGCAAGGAAGTGACATCAATGACAAAACACTCGGGCAGCAGTGCTTGCCACGAGCAACTCAAAACTGTATGTAACATTTCAACCCACTTTGTCATGGCACTTCAAGTGTGCAGAGCAAGCTTCAAACTCCAGCAGTTATGGATTCAGATTACATGTTCGTGACAAGAAAAAAAGAAAAAAAAGAAAAAGAAATAATCAGAGGATAGTTGCAGTGACTCATATCATTGGGAGTCCCATTCAAATGCAGAGCATTAAACAGAAATTGGAATTAGTAATACTGCAGAAAGAACAAAATATAACATATTTGCAGATTGGAAACAGCTTGGCTTTTTACAGAGTCGAATTAGTAGCCTGCTGCTTTGAAGCTTGCACTGTCACTGACGCAGCAAAGATGGCATTAAGTATGAGCTTTCTGGTTGCACAGAGTTCTGCGCTTGTAGTGTTGGCTAAGTGTGCTGGTACAAAAAAGGAAGGGTCAGCTGCTTTAAGTGCCCTGGCAAGGTGGGACAGGGGGAGCAAGAGGGGATGCCTGTGTTCTGGCAGAACACAGAGGCGATGAAGGAGAATGGTCTGTTGAAGTCATTCTCCTTAAATGAGTGTAGTACTTCTCTGCTCATGGAAAAATAGGCTGTCGATGTAGGATGCTGGTGTGGATGATGATTCAGGGCAAGAGGTTCTGGAAGTGCTTTGAAGAATCCTCTGGATGAGCCAGTACCTGCAGTGACTGCAAAGAAGGCCTCGGGATTTTGTGTCCCGCCACTGAGGTTAGTCTGTGAAAAAATCAGATTTGTAATTGAGCTCTATTTTGACCCTTTCTGAAGATGTATCATACAACTTTTTCTTAAAATTAGAGCTTTTAAACTCCAGCCAAAACAATTTTCATGTCTAAACAGTCTGCTTTTATGATTGCACTCATCACAGTGTAAGAATTGTCATGTTTAGAGAGAGCAGGATCCAAATCTCACAGACTCCTTCCTTTGTAATTGTTTAGGAGATGCTTAGAGAAGGCTATCAGAATGGGGCACCCTCAGAGTGAGGGAGTCTGACATGCCCTTCTGTTGATCAGTGCTTCAGAAACTTGTGGATCCGAAGCATGCACCCAGTCCAAACCGGGCTTTGAGTCAAGTGACATTTTCTCCATTAATTTGCCTAGTCTTTTTCTGAACCCAGTTGTACTCTGGCCACCATACTATTCCATAGCACAGGTTCCATATTTTAATGTTTGTAATGATTAACATGAGCCTTAATGGATTCAGGAGGCTTGAGATTACTTGTCCCAGATGCTGTCCAGTTCCTCAGTTTTATCAGTCACTTTTCTGTGTGCAGGTGGTCTGGGCAGTGAGCCACGAAGTTGCTGACACTTCGTGTACCCAAGGAGCAGCCAAGATCCAGGTAAGAGTAAGCGTGCATTGCTCTCTGCTAGGCTGAGCCTAAATTTCTGCCACTGGCCCTGGTACTTTTTACATTTATTCTTGTGCCATATCTAACCCAGATTATAATCTTCCTGAGCAGAGATGCATCATTTAATCTTTATCTGTGTGTTAATAGACACGCATGGCCCTACCTGAACAGAGAAATACAGAAAGAGAAAAAAACACTGTGTTTGGTCTGTCAGGCAGACACTGGATATTTTGCTACCCTAATCATCAAAGTCGCAAGTTCCCTTGGAGCATATAAGTCATGAACTACCATGCAGCTCCAAGGGGAAAATTTTGCCCTTTGATTGTTTTCCAAAGAAATATTCTCAATTTCTTTTCTGCCAAATTCACATTACAGATCATACTAGCAAATTTTCCCAAGCCTTATTGACCTCCTCCCTCCTTCACAGTAGCAAAAGAAATTTCACTCATCACTGAGAGATATTGAAGATTGCTAAATTTTGCTGATTTAGGAACTGAGTGAATGAAACAAGCAGACAAAAATGTAGATACTGCCTTGCAGAATGCTCTTAGCTCTGTCGGTAAGAAGAATAGAGTTTGTGATGTTTCTGCTATTTCACAGTATGTTAGTAACTCTAGCTAAGGTGTTATTAAATAGGAGGTCTGGGACACTGTCTTATCTCAAGGCCAGAACAGTTCCTACTGCACTGAGATTTGAGGAGGTCCTTTTTACTTGTTTTTGTTTTTTTTTTTTCCCCCCCTCATCCCTTCTATCAGTAAATCTGTGCTTGGTTTTACCAAATCAACATGAAAGTGATGCTTACTGTGCTGCATTGAGCTGTGTCTTTTATTTTGATTGGAGTTGAGTTCTCGGTGTTCACTGCTCCTAAATCATTTGTAAGCAGTTGAGCGTGTCTGCCAAGTCTTTAGTCTGAGTAAGGATTTGGGGTTTGTTTTCTGAATGAGCAAAGTAAGGCAAAGCAAGCTGTACCATACTTCCTTACAATTCACATTCACAGTCATGTATAATTGCCACGTGACAATTTTGCCACTAACATCGTTTTTCACTTTTTGTATAAAAGCAGGGTTCAGATTTTGTGTTATTTTTGCTTTGAGATCATTCCACCTTTTTTTTTTTTCTTTTCTGAGATGTCACATTTCAATTTAACAAATTGCCAGTTCAGGCAGCTTCAGTGCCCAAGAAATCATTTCCAATGATGTACTGTAAAAGCAGGACTGAAACAGATCTCTTGACTACATTTCAAAGACCTACGTTTGGATTACAGGATTGCAGATGAGACTTTAGTTCTGCAGATACTCATTTGCCACCAAATACATCTGCTTTTTTTCTCTTCTACTCCAATTTTTTGTGAGTGATAAGGATACAGAGGCTGATATTCTATGGAAGTAGTTGAATTAATTATCCAATTGAATTCAGTTGCTGTCAGTAACCAATATTTCTGTGAAATGATTGTATAGAGCAGTATGAAGATATGTCTCAGTCGTATGTAACACCTTTTGGATATTGCCTCTCAAACATAAAGAATGGGACTAATTTTTTAAGACCTTAATCTCCAGGCTTACTTCTTTCTCTGGCAAAATGCTTCTTGATCTCAATGGACATATTTACCTTGGCGTGATTCAAGTGTAATAGGGGCATGCTTGGGCTTGGGCAGCAGCAGCCTGCCATGGGCTGGGTGCAGGGAGGCATGGCCCAGCGCTCAGGAACCAGAGAACCGGGCTGAGCCCTTGCTCACCTCCACTGCATCGCTTCCTGCACCCTCACTGTGTGGGACAGGCAGGGGTACTTCCCCATGGCAGTGGATCTCGCATCCACAGGGGGATTTCTCTGTGTAAATACAGCACTTTGAGCACGAGGCCGTCGGTTTGAAAGCAGGAATGTGGATCTGCTTGCAAATCCTTGTGCCGTGCTCCTATCAGGTTAAACATGTATGTGTTTTACATTATTGAGAAACATTGTGATTTAGATGGATGCACATTATTCCTCAGCTCTCTGTCAACAATCAAAAATAAGCTTTCGAATTTATTAGTTTGTTGTCTTACACCTATCTTAAATCATTATCATATAATAAGAACTCTCTATGGTGCATTGTCAATAAAACCTAATATTGAGAAGATTACTGATCATCTAGTGCAAATGGAGAGCACTGTAAATGATTTAGAGAATATGTGTCAAACGTTAAAGCTATCTAATACCTCCTAAAGTAGGTTGATACTCATAAATCTAAGATAAACGACCTGTAAAACCACTTAAGAAGAAATAATACGCATTTAATCAGGCACCCAAAGAAAAGGCTAGGTAGAAGAGAAATTCATAACTCAGTTCTAATTCAGTACGTTGTTGATAGGAAATGCAAACCCACATTTGATAAGTAATTCTGGTTACCTAAAACTATAATTGTAATAGCACTAAATTATGATCCCATTGAAGAAAAAGAAAAGACCAAAGGGCATCTCTTTTATGGTTTAGTGAGCTCTCATTTTTCCAGATTCAGCACTGTGTATATCAGATGGAGATAAAGGAGGTATTCATTAGAATTACCGTTTTGCTAGATCACAGACGGGGCAGTGTGCTGGATTGGTTTCTCTTGTTTGGCTGTTCCTGCTCACAGGTAGCAGAATGGATAGGCTCATTTAACACTTGTTCCTTGGAGGAGCGAGGCTTTTTTTAGGGACAGGCTGCTTAAAATGATCATGGAACAAACTCCATGTTGTTGCGTAGCTGAGTTGTAACTTATATAAACTTGGTCTAGTGATTTCAGTGTATTTTCTGCACTTGAATCCTGAAAAAAATTATTTCCCTTTCTACTTTTTCTCTTCAGATCCCTTTGAAAGGTGAGTAAGTGTAGGTAGTGGAAAAATTAGGTCATGATTTTCATTTCCAAACTTCTGATACTCCAGTTTTCAGGCAGAAATCTTCCATTTTGTTCAGTAGGTTTTTAAGTTCACTTCTTAATTCTTGTTCATCCTCTTGGCTTTACGACTGCTCAGAGCTACGCATCACTGCCAGTATTTATTAGACTTTGACGCAGAGCTTTTCTTGAAGCAATTGCAATAGTATATTTAGCCATGGAGAAATCTTTTCAAAGAGAAGTGTGCTGTGACTCATGTGACTCTGCTGTTGCTCTGTTGACCCGAGCAGACTTACTCATCGTTTACATAGTGGCAGACAAGATTAGATTCTGGCTCGATGCCTTATTTTCTTTGATCCAATAAATGTGCAACTTGAAAATGCCTTTTACTCCAATCCTCCTTTTCTTTTTTTTTTCCTTCTTTTTTCCCCCCCTTTTTTCTTATTGTTGGATAAAATAGATATGCAACTTCTTTTCCCTTTTAAAAAGTAAGGACACACATACTGCTTGGATTTAAATTAGTGAATGAAATGCAAACGCATCTGATCCACTTATAACTCATACTGCAAAAATAACCAGGGGATAACATGGTTGTGGCCAAGCTGTGTTACTACCTGCTTTATTCTCGGTTGCTCTCTCAGAGGGGTAAACATACTCATGAGCCATTGCTATGCGGTGGCTGTAGTCACGTCATGTTGTACAGTGGTGTTTGAAGTGGTTGTTTTTGTAATAGGAATGCAACCTTGGTAGTAAATTTCTGTTAGCTCTGAATTTTTGAGATACTGAAGTCTGTCTGAAAGAAAGCTTGTTGATTTACTTCCTGCTTTCCTTTCAGCTGGTATAAAGCTACAGTCGTTTCACTAAAATACCAACTAAACTGAGCATACGTTCAAGAAGAATCGTTTCAGAAATCTGTCAGTCTTGAGAACATTTCCCTTCCATTTCCTGAGAATACCAGGGAATAATTGGTTTTGCTACTCTGAGGCAGGGCAGCTGTTGTGTGTGTAAGATGTGTGTGAGCTGTGTGTACTATGTTAGTTATTAGCTGAAAAAAATCAGAGGCGGCACCTGGACTGACTGTACCTGGTGTTTGGTTGTTACAGGATCACGGTGTCCGGCTGTCAGCAGAGAGCAGGGAGCATTCACACATGAACAAGTCTTCCTTTGAGAACTGGAGGCTGAAGCCTTCCTCAGATAAATGGTTTGTGAAGGGGACAGTTGCTTGGAGATGATCTAGTTTTATTTTTATGTCAGTGCTTTTTAAAGGCAATGTTTTGGGTTGTTTATTTTTTAAACAAACACTGAGGGATGATAGAAGATGATGCCAGGTAACTATTATTTTGTGGTAGTTGTCGACAAGTCTGGGAGATGAGGATAGCTCATACCAACTGGAAATGGAAAGCCTCTGGAATTCAATTAGGTATCAAAAGTTTGCACTGTAGAAGCTCAGCGGGCAGCTAAACGAGCAAACAGGACTGGAGGGCACATCTGTGACTTATGTTGGCTGTAGAACCTCCATCGAGGGGGCTCCAGAAGGGCTGGCGCTGGCTGAGGACTTGCCCCCCTCCTCACCCAGGTTAGAGATGGGAGAGACCCTTGTTCTTCACTTTATAAGCACCCAAATCACTCACACAAGCACACATACCTGTGTTATAATTAAATTAAAATCTCACTAATTTGGAGGCATACCTATCACGTTCTCTTCTAGGAAGAAGCCATTATTTCTTCTTTTCTTCTCTTTTGCTTGAATCCCAAGCTATCAATGGCTTTCAAAGAAAAAGGAGTTTTTCCTTAGAAAAAAGTCTATTCAAATTATTCATGATTTATATCAAGAAGGGACCTTTCCTCTTTCAACTAGCAAAAAAGAGGGAGTTTGATCTTCCTCAAAATCATTTGAGAATCTTGTACATTTCTTTCCAGAGCTAAAACTTTCTTACAAAGCTTTGGATATTCAGCAGAATAATGACTATTACATAATTGAAGCTCAATACAATACCATGGGGCTAATAAATGGTCTCCTGGTTCTATAGAAAATGTAACAAATCATAATAGCACTTATTGGGACTAGGCCAGGCACAAATGACAAAGCTGCTTTTGAAAGTGAGTTCTGGCCAGAAATACTCTTGGACCAAAATCATTCTCTTGACTGTCAGGGGTACATTTACTCCCTTTAATTTTCAGCCCAGATTTTATGTTGATCCTGCAACACTGAATAAAATCAAGCCCAACAGAGCTGCTACTGCAGCTGCTCCAGATGTAAATGTGAAGAAGGGCATTTAGGACAAGTCTGTTTCCCTGAATGTGTTATTTTGAAATTATGCAGATTATATGAAAAACGGCTTGATATGTCCTTATTGTGCCTTTTTAAAGGAAGAAAAGGACGCTACACTATTAAGTGATTTATTAATGTTCCTGATCACAGTTCTTCTACTTAGAAAATAATTATTCTATTGTGCGCTGTGAAGCTGCCTGTAAGTAACTGGCAATGGAGTATACTGCTTTGGGTGCTCCATAGAGAAAATATCAAATTCTATTGATTAATCAAAAAGAACTTTCTTTGATGGAAGGAAACCTTTGCAAACTTGATTAAAAATATTGAATCAAACATGAGCAATCAAAGTTCATAATCTGAACTTCTGCTCTACTTTCTTACTTAAGCTGGCTGCTGTGTAAACCTTCAAAAAGCTCAGAGCAGAACATAAGATGTATTCTGTAACAAACAAACAATGACAGAACAAAAAACCTCCACCTTTATTTGTCTCTTCTGTACTGCTGCAGCTCTGCTGTTTTTATTGGAGTCACTCAGTGTTTCCACTGGAGAGACTGGTAACAAGAATCAAGCCTCAGACCTTTTTTCAGTGAGTAATCCAGAAGCATCCTCACATCCTCTGTCATTTCACAGAGAGTTTTCCCTCTGTTCTGATCAGAGCTAAGAGGAAAACAGAACTCAAACAGGTGGGACTACCAGGTCTTTATCTTGTTATCAACACAGAAATCATGGGCCGTATTTGAAATATTATGTGTAAAGCCATCATTCCATTTGAAATGAGAATCTAGTGGAAGTTAGCAAAGAAAGTGTATTTAGCAGCAGGAAAAACATAGTGTTATGTTTCCAGGTATTTTGATGGAAAGAAAAAAAAAAGGAAAGAATAATGGAAAATATGTAGGCAGAGGGTGAGCAAGAGGAACTGAAAAAACTGATCGTGGTGCAGTAACCCGATGTCACTTTGGGATAGGTCACAATGTAGAGTAAGTTCAGACTCAGCATTCATCAAGCACAAAGTGAGAGAACATGTTTTCTGCCGCCACAAGGGCTCAGATGTGCAAACTCAAGTCAGACCTTGGGCAAGCAGTTCTCCCAGGAAGCTACTGAGGCAGCCACAGGAGAAAATGTGGGGATTCGCTAGGCACCCTCTGCACTCTTGTTTTGCGGTGCCTTTCTGTATAGTCCCCTCCCTGTCCATGCTCCAAGCAGAGGTAGCAGCACAGAGATGATGGCCATGCATCTGTCAGCACACAGCCCGATCTCACATAGGTGGGCAAGGTGATGGCTTCCAGTAGGATGGTGGGATGGAGAGCAGAGCAGGGACATAAGTGTGAGGAGAACCAGCAGAGGCTGACAGAAGGGAGTAATTCATAAATTCTTTAGAGTAGCACCCGTAACCTAGTCAGAAGAGAAAAAACACTTAAAAGGGTGTGTGGGTGTCTGCCAGTAAAGCCTCTGTCTCCAGTTGAGTCCTCCTTTGTGCTGGAAATAAAACCTGTTCTTGGGAGCTGAAACATTTTCAGTGAAGACCCTGCTCAGTCCCCAGCCAGAGTAATGCAGAAGCTCCACAACTTATTCATTGATTGGATTGGAAGAGAACATATTATTTAGAAAGCAGCCTTCCTACATGCTGTCCGTCCCATCCTATGCAGCACTTCTTATCCTAAATACTCCATTCTGGTAAGTCAACACATTAGAAAGAAGAAAAGACGCTTTATTAAGAAACAAACAAAAAACACTTCTGTAGAGTGACAGATGAATGCTGTGACAGATTAATACAAATTTTAAAGCCTGAACATTATCTTCCAAGGGAGAAAGGCTTCTAAATACAAATTCAAAACAAAAAAATGGCAGAGGAGAATCTCTGACAGTGCCTTACACAGAATCATTTATTAGGCCTCTGTAAGTGATCATTTACATGAAACTTGCATTTTATCTAGTATTCAGCTCTTTCCTTTTATCTTCTGGTTCCATGTGTTTCTGGGGAGCTCTGTGGTTCCTCATCCTGTCTCATCTCCCTGCCTGTACTGAGAGAGCAGTAGAGCCTTTTGGGTTGAAACACAGGGAAACAGTCTGTAGGATACAGCATTGTCTAGGGTGCACAGAAATACTGGCTTCGTTACACTGCATGGCTGTAACTTTTTCAGATGTTAGCAGTTGCATGTGGACTAAATACATGCATTATTTACGTATGCTGCTATTACTAGAGCACCTACGCAAAGTAATTCAGAATTAGTCCCACAAATCTGTGGCATCACTGAAGTTATTGCACTGTAAATTCAGCTTCATATCCTGAATGTCTGCTGAGATGTTGCATGCCTGAGATGTAAAGCCATCTCTTGCCCACTCCGAAGAGTGACCTGCTCAGAGAAGTTGGCCTGGCTTGTAGTTCTGTCCTCTCTCATGAGAATGTGGCTTGCTGCTTCTCCAGGCTGTGCTGACACCTTCTGACACATAGGGGTTGCAAGTAGAGGTATAACGCTAGCTTTAGAGATCTCCAGAAATCTGAGTGCTTCTTTCTGTATCTATCCCCCTGTGGCATTGTGCCCAGCTGCCCTTCCAGTCTGCACCTCTGATTTCGGTGAGTGACAAGCAAAGGCATTTCAAATTGAAAGGAGGTATTTAAATACTGTCAAGAACAGCAGATAAAATGACCTCAAACAATCCCACATAAAGTCCTTTGTGATTTTCAAAGCACTTTCCCAGCTTGACACCTTTGCTTTTTCATATCCAATATAAAATTCAAAATGTTTTATTCCAATGCAGTCCATGAATATATAATATAAATATATCAAACTTCACACTGCCTTTTTTGTGCTGCTGCTTTGAAAAAGAACCTGAAGTAAACTCAGCATAAAGATCAAGAAAATTATTGAGATAATCTTACTTCTCAAACTTTTGTTCCCCTTTGTCTTGCTCACGTTGAGAACAACTTCTCTCCAGCAGGCGTGCATACAGGAGTAAGGAGCTGCCTGGACCCAGAGGGCTGAGAGGACTGCAGCACAGAGCTGCCTGTGGATACATTTGCTGAGCCATTTCAGGTATCTCTAGCATTGAGTACACACACGTACAGACTGGCTTTCCATTACCTCCCCTAAAATCTCATCCTGCTGTCACTGCACTGCTCCTTTCTGTGGCTACTTCCCTTTACATGCACAGTTGTTGCCATACAGCAATTCTTACCAATGCCTTGCCAAGCCAGAGGTTGCCCTTACACAGCCTCCCAAGGAGCAGTACCTGCTCCACTTTCCTTTGGTCCTTCCAGGCTCTGTATTGCTCCACCGTGACCCTCAAAACCACTTCATCCATTCTTTTTGCTGTTGCTGTTGCTTATGTTGTTAATGTTACTGAAGAGCTTAGATCCACAGTACTGCTGCTCTCCTGCCTGGTGAATGTGGCATCCTGCTGCCACTCACTATTTTACAAGGTTTCTTCTCTGTACATAAAAACAGCACAATGACTTCTGCACTGTGCACAACTTGGCACAAGTTGATCCTGTTGTCAGGGGAAGGGGGGAGAGCTGAACTGAATAAAAGCAGACCCATCTCTCAGAAGAGCATCTGGGTTTGAGCAGTTTGGAACAACCTCACAGAGGTGCCAGTAAGGGAGGCAGTGGCTGGCAATGCCTCGTGATTTCCTGACACCACTTCTCTGGGATACAGGTAAGTAGAAATGGCTGTTGTGGTAATAGGCCTGGAAGGCTGGTATCTAATTTCAGCTTTCTTTTCTGCTAATTGCAGTGATTAAATGACTTTGAAATTACCTCAGAGTAACTGAGTACAGGTTTGGGGCTTGTGTGTACACAGAAATTGAAGTAAATCAGTTTGGAGATGTTTGGAATAGGCATAGCTGGCAGCATGTGGCGGAGCACATAGTTGGATGAATTTGCATCTTATTGAGTGTGTAAGAAAAAGTCTTAAGTTGTGACTGGGAGAAGTCAAGCCAGGAACAATAAGCTTGTCTGGAGAATTCTGGTATTAGAAACTAAAGTATACGGAACCCTGTCCAAGGTAAATATTGACGTGACTCAAGATGAACCAGTAAAACATCTAATGAAGCTGAAAATAAGGCATCTGGGATAGATGTTTATTGTTAAAAGTGAAACGTTTGAGCAAAAGTAGCATAGTGATGGTGGAGGTTATTCATAGGGAAGTCAAGCTGGGGAAACAGCATCTTCTGAAAGAAACTGACTCAAGTTATTTGTGAAACATGGAAAAAATTAGAATTGTAACAGAGCTAAAAATGTCAGTGAACAGCAAACGGTCATTACAGACATTCAGAGTGGATTTTGGAGACTGAATCATACCAAGGGACAAATTACTCAGGTGTCCAGAATAACTCTATTGACTTTGACGGATTTCTCAGTATTTGCCTTTGTGTAATTGAGAGTTTACTCCCTTATGCCATATGAGGACTGAATATTAAGAGACTTTGAGAAAAAAATACTGACTTTCATTCATTCCAGTGTCATTCTCTTGATGATAGAGAATAAGTCACATTAACTTCATGAGGCATTTCAGGAACATATTAGGAGCTTTTCCCTTTTATGCAGCAGGAAAAAGCCTTGCACAGCGCTGTGAAAATAATCAGAAAAGCTCCATTAAACTGGGAAATGGGAATAAATTGTGCTGCTGTATGAGAAGTCTTACTCACATGTAAGTCTGTGGTGTTATCGGAATGCTCTATTGTAAAACACACTGAGCCAGGTTGTGGTGAGCCAACATTACCTTCGTGTGTTTACTCATGGTGGAGATATTGGGGAAGAGATACCAGAAATTGAAGCTGTTTGCTTAGGAGTGTTCTGTAAACCAGCTTTATTCTACTTCAGTAATGCAAGGCTAATGCATCAGCACTGATAACGTACAAAAGATACATTTGATCTGTTCACATGTAGCATGCCTATAGTTGTAGTGGTATTGCTACATTATATGCATGTAGAAATTCAGTAAACTGTCCAGTGATTACACACATGGAGCTGTTGTCTCTGAGGTGGCTTAGAACTGCAGTGCAAAGACACCATATATCCTGCCCGAAGGCGCAGGATCATGGGGCAGGAGGAACAGAGGCAGGACAGGAGGAGAAGCAGCAAGGGATGCCCAGGGAAGGCAGTGATAAGGAGAGCTGCTGTGCTAGGGTGGTGCGTCCACACTTGCTCCTTGGCAGCTTGTGATGAATGCAGGAAAACAGCAATTGTAGCATGTGGCTCTGCTCCACCTCTCAACACCCTTATGCTAGGAAGAAGTGAGTGCTGAGTTCTCTTTTTCCTCCGAAGCATCTTTTGGAAAGCTGAGGTCCAAAACAAGTTAAGACTTCAGACCTCATTGTCAGCTTCTTGGACTGAATTTAGAAAATCCACAGACAATGCATTCACTTCCTTCATCTCCTGTTTATTGATAAGGTTTCCTTTGGCTAGTCTTGCTTTTGTGGCTGTGATCAAATCACAATTACTGGTAGATTTTATTACTAACATAAACAAATAGCAGGTTATGTTGTTATTCTCCTGAGCTTCAAAGCTGAAGCTGGGCATGACTAGAATCTACCGGTACTGAAGTGCAATTGAAATACAAAGGGGATGTTGGTAATATGAAACATATGTTGCTTATGTAGAGCACCAGTTAAATGCTCTCTGCAGAGTACCTCAGTATGTTAAACAACCAGCAACCTCAGACAGAATTACACTAGAATCTCAAATGCTTTGAGATGCTACATGACAGAGCAGTGACATCCAAAGGGTGCTTCTTCCCAGCACTGCGTGCACCAGAGGGGGACGTTGAGATAAGTGGTGGATATGTGCAGTACTGTTGGCTTCGCTCTCTGAAACTTGTGTTCAGCAAAGGTCTACTCTAGGCATAGCAAGAAGATTTTTATTGACATAAACATAGTTTAAAAGCAAATATATGCTTTTTTTGTTTGTTTGTTTGATTGTTATTTCCCCCCATTATTTTATCAGGGGTTTTTTTGCTCATTTGTGATGAGCTCACTATCAGAAATGCAGAGCTGCTATCTAAAAGATGTGTAACAAACCAGATACATGCAATGCTTTGGTAGTGGTAGGATGAGATTTTTCACTCTGCTTCTTCGCCTTTAAAAGCCAGCCAATATAATTGTTTTGTCATTATAACATTTGGCGTTATTCCCATATGTACAGATTGCAACATCTGCAAGTTTTAAAAATTAATATAAAGCTCCATAATTATATAAGCCTTCCTCAATTTAATGGTCCTAAACAAGTAAGTTTGCTTTGATGCAAACCAAGACATAGCCAGGTGATACGATGCCCTGCTTGGACCAAGCAACCGCTGAGTGGGGCCAGTGTGCTCCTGTCCATGTAGCTGCTACTGTCACTGCAGCACATTCTCTGAAAGGAGAGAGGCTGTAGTGCAAAGTTCTGCTCACCAGCACCCGAGCTGGCAGCTCTCATGCACAAGTTTTTGGCACTGAAGAGCATCAGCATAACTGGCGCTAAGGCAAACAAGAATAAAAGGTCTGGGCCATACGAAGATACTTCAGTAGTCACTGCCGATGTGTTCCAAGGAGGAAATCAGCAATCTTGTGTTCTCTTGTTTCTTGAATTCCTGTATTTGAAAGCTTGGCTTCATTTTCTTTCATTTGAAAGGTTTGAAAAGAACCCCATCTCTGGATGTGTACTTGACTTTGCAAGCATCTTACCGAAACCCACAGAAGGACCCAGTCACTGTAGATGCAGTGGTGTGGCAAACATGGCTCAGCATTTTCAGGTTTATTGAAACAGTGATTCCTTGCTTATTTTTCTAAACAAGCTCTGAACAATACCATCAAACCTTGCTACCACCAAAACATGCTGTCACCAAGCATCCGGCAAGCAGTTTGAGAAATGTTTCTGCATTTCCTCCTAGCTTATAAAGCCTTTCTGACTGCAGCATACTTTAGCATAAGGGAAACAGAAGAAAATTCAGGCCCTACATGTCATGTGTTCAGTAATGGAGGACTGGAGCAGCAAGAGACAGGTGCTTTTCCAAGCAGAATGAAAGATCTGAGCAGCTGATTCATGGTGAAGCAGCATGCTTTCAGCTGGGAAGGTTTACTGTAGCTAAACCTCCTATCCCTCTCACTGATAGCTCAGATGAATCAGCATCTTGCTATTTTTATCTTAGCTGTACCAATAGAGTAATATTGTTCTGTCAGTGCTATTTATACATCATCACATGCCTGACTACTCCAGGCTGTGCATTTTTTTCCAGTCTTAGATGATGTCATCATGAAGTAGGCATTTGTATTGAACAAAATCTTTCTTCAGAATAGCAACAAATAAAGCTTATGGCAGAGTACCACACTAGGAGCCACTGAAATACCGGGATAAGCTCCCCAGTTCAATGCAGCTCTGAGATGGGCCTTTGGTGCTTCCTGGGAATTGGCTTGTGAGGAAGTCCTGCAGCTCTCAGTGCCCACCTGGCCTTTGAAACAGAGGCGTGTTGGGAGCAGAGTGCTCTGGAGCCTGGGAGTGCTCTGCAGGAGGACTTGCTAAGGGTGTCATTATTCTGGGGAAGAAGAAAGGAAAGCGAGAAGATTTCCTACTGAAGCTATTCAGCATCTTTTCAGTTATCCACAAACAGAGAAAGAGTTCCTCATCTCTCTTCTCCTGCTTGAAGATGCACATCCACTTTAAACATTTTTGTCCTCTGGTGTGATTTTCACAATGGGTCGGTGCAGGCTTGGCCAGCTCTGCAGCTTACAGCCTTGCCATGTGTGTCCTTCTGAAAAACCCATTGTAAGAAGCAGTGAAAGATCTACAAATGATTTGTAAAGGAAGAATTTGACGTCCTCAGTTGATTGCCTTTTTGTTTGCAGTGTTCCAGCAAGCCTGAAATTCTTTACTCTGTTCCTATCCCTAGTTCATCAAATGCATTTCCAGCTGTTTGTCATCATTCCATAAGGCCAGCAACATGTCAACATCAACAGCTGTGTTCTTCTGATCTGCTACTTGTATCGGAGCTCTGAGCTGTAACTGCTGAATCAGTGCAGCTCAGGCAAATCGTACATAGCGTTTTCCTAGAAGTTGTTC